TTAATGAGTATTGGGTATGTATTTTGAGCAGTGCAAATATTTACAGTCAGGTTATGAACTTTCTAAATATTTTAGATGAAGCAAAATAGACAAGTCTGTGCAGTTATTTGGGGCAAATATGAACAGGAGTGGGCAAGGGCCGAGAGCCCCATGCCTTATCAGTACTGTGGAACCGTAGAGAGTGGTGTAGCAGGAGTGTTCTGCTAGTATCTAGCATTAGTTTCTACAGCTAAACGTTTCCATGTACAAAGCTCTGGTTTTATTCTCGATTTTTCTTTAAAATGTGATATAAAGGAACATACATGAATGTCTCGTTGCTTGCCTGTAAAGCAGAGGATGCTGTTGTAGTAAGTGTGTGCTAACCACTTACTCCTTCGCGAATTCATTGTGATAGCATCTAATGAAATGATCAAACCATTCCTCAAAAATACCTGATTTTCGACTTTCACAGCCTGAGATGGATATTTATATTCTCTGAAATTTCTGATGTGACATGTTTTAATGTTAAGAAGTGTCAGCAATTGAAAAAACTAATAGGGAGGTAGAAAACACCTCACTACCATTATAAAGTATTATGTGGCTGTTTCTTTACAGGACTATAGTCCTAGATGGAGTTGCAACTACACACTGTTTTTTAGGACTTTTGCATCTAAAATCGTAATTTGGATACAGTCTTAAGAGATGGTTTTATCATTGTTGTCTTATTTTGCTCTTTTATACAATTTTGTATTGTTGCAGGGAGTTAGGCTTCTGCTTTTCAACAAGTAGAAGAAAATGCACGGAGCTGTTAACAAGCCTTGCTAATGAATTATTATATACTCCCTAGCAAGGGGCTTTATCTCTGCAGTTCCACATTCATATTCCCAGTGGATTTTTTAATTTCTAGGAGAGATTTTCATTATCACAGTGATAAGGAAATCACGGCAATAATAAATGTAGTGTTCCTGCCTCCAGAAAATGGCAGTATATAGTGTAGATACAAAATCAGTGAGAGGACTTATGTAATAAATGATCAAAGCAATTACACTAATTACAGTTTCTTTCCAGTTTGTCTTAAATGTGGTAGTTTTCTGTGTGCTATGAATATTACTGCTGGCAGAAAGGTACTGAATTGTGCTTTAGCAAAACCTTAGTGGATGAGTTCCTAAGTTAAGAACTGTCCAGTGCAAGAATATTGGTGGGCAGCTTCTTTACAGTATAATTAACAGACAATTAACAGCATGTGCAGCATCTCTGATGTTTTATTTAGAGTTCCAGGGTTGGACTTTGAGGTCCATTTACTGCTTTTTAGCATTAAGATTTGTGCACTTATTTATAGTCTAGAAATAAATATGACTGACTCAGTTGCTGGAATTGAAATTACCAAAAATAGTTTTACCTCTAAAATTGTATTTTTTGAAATAGCTTTTTGTTCTTACAGTATGTTTCTGATATTTCTTAATCTGTAAAACTGTACAGTACTACAAAAGTGCCTAAACCAAATGTTGCTGATGTGCATGACCATGCAACACTGGAGAAGAGGGAAATTAAGTCATTTCATTAATAATTTCGGTTCTGTGAACAATAGATTTTTGGCACGTTATTGAGTGAGCAGTAACTCTTTGGAGGCTCCAGACATAGACCCAATAGTATAGAAATTATATATTTTTAAAACCTCAGGCTTTTTGTTTCTGCACAGTTTTTTCCTCCTTTGAATTCAGTGTATGTGTCTTGGCAGTTGGATATGGAAAACCCGGTGGTGAAGCTGTTAGCAAGTGTGTTTGTTTTAGCTAGAGGGAGGCACACTGTGAAGTATCAGAACTTAACATCGTGTAGACAGAAATTCACGCTCAGGATGTGTATCCCAAGACTGACAGAGAAGTTCAGGGTCATGTATTTCCTTGGGCTTCTTCATTGTTCTTTTTTAACATAATTTTCCATCTGTTGTAGCACATTATACCATCTGAAGGCTTTATATTTAGAAACTCTGCAGGTGATTAGTGGAGTTTGCTGTAACCTCTTAATGTAACTCCTAAGTTTAAAGAGCTAAAATTGGTGAAATTATTACAAAATTAATGTTTAAATCAAAAGCATGCATGATTACCCTGTCTTAAAACTGTAGTGCATAAATTCAGTTTTCTTTACTGCTTAAGGGACCTCTAGATAGGACTACCTCAAATTACTTGGGACACCACCTACTTGATAGGACCTAACTTCCAGTGTGAGGCTTTAGCAGAGAAGTAAAATTATCATTTGTAACAGAAGCATGCTTTGCACAGAAGACAGAGCTTTTTGCTAATTAAATACCAATACAAAATTTTCAAAATACAGTACAAAAATACAGAGATACTTCTATGAGTGAGTCCCTACCACTGTCAGAATAAAATAGCGTATCAGCTTTGTTGCACAGTTTCAATGTTCGGTAGACTCCTTAAAAGTAATTCTTTCATTAAAAATTCTTCAGAGGTTCATAAGTTGAGAGACCTGAAAACAGCCATTTACATTCACTTTCTAGTGCTTAGAGATAGGCTACCTACAGTTTTTGAAAGCTGAGATATCTAAAGTCAAGGTGATTTGAGATAGGATTAAGCACAGTGTTACATCAGAATCAAAATTCAGTGTCACTGTATGCAGTAATAGTTGTTACTTGTCTACAAGGGTGTTCCTCTTGACTGCTGGCTGTTTGTAAACATGATCAGATGTGTCATCTCCACTGAAAACAGAAGTGTTGATCTGAAACTTTCAGCTGTAGAAAATGAATGTCTGCTCTGCATGTTTTTTAACCTCGTTGGCCTTTGTTTTCAATTGTCTCTCAAATCTCATGGATTTCATGTTTTGATATTAATAGTTTTAAAGAGGGTTTATATTTATAGATTTTTTTTTTAATGTGCTTTAATTAATTGTGAGTATTTTTAATTCAGGTTGAGTTTACTTGTATGGCACTGTTTGTCAGCTTTTAATCTGCCCTGTTAATTAATGTTAAATAAACCTGACAGTCCTCTAAATACAAAATAGATGTGGTTTTGTAGGCATTGGACTGCAGCTTCACTATGATGATATTAGGGCCCAATATGCATTTTGGGGTACTTAATTCTTCACCTTGTTTGGTTTTTTTTTTTTTTAAAGTCAGACTGGGAAAATACAGATCAGCATTGCACGTGTTTCTGCAAAGAGAAGTTATCTTTGGAAAGCCACAATGAAATCACTAGGACTCTATGGGAGCTCATGAATCCATTTTCGGATCCTTATAGAAGGTTGAATTCTGAAAGTACACAGATGTACACATCAGTTAAGGCAGTGCAAGATGCAGGGTGTGTTCTTGCAAATATGTGAAGTTTGCAAGTACTCGAAATAGGAAACGGCTGTGATGACCATGATGATGATTAAGTTTAGAGAATAACTTTGGGAAATCTCTCAGATGGAGAATACGGAGGTATATACTGGAACCAGTTCAAAGGATGCAATGAGTGTCTCTTGCAGGCAGTCTTCAAATTACCCTAAATTTACTGGGATATTTCAGTTAAAGACAGCCTTCTGAAGTGAGCTTGGTGCCCTGGTATGTGTGCAAAAGTGCAGAAAGATTAATGTAAAAGTGAAAGAAAAGGTCTTCTGAGCTTGTTTTCAAAGACGTCCCTATAAGAGCTGTGCTTTGTGTGAAGCTGGTTCAGGGAACAGTACAGATAATTTCTTGGCCTGAGACTGATGCTAGCCTGATAGCATGCCCTGGATTCCTACAGCAGAATTAGTACCTCTTGGAGGAGTCTGGGTTCTCCTCTGTGCTGGCTTTGAGAATTCAACAAAACCTGACTTTGGACACTGGAGTCTATCATGAGGTTGTGAAACTGTGAACAGTGTCACAAGAAGTATCTGTTCACTTAAGGCACTTAAAAACAGGCTTGGCTGCCTGTCATGAAAGTGTCACTGAAGTGGCAGGGAGAGAACGGCACGTATTAACAGTTGCTTCTTCCTCCAATTTGTATTGCTAGTCTATAAAGTAGACAAAAAGGGCTTAAGTGAGCTAAAAGTGTGTAACTTTTTCTCAGCGGTCATAGCAAAAAAGGGAATGCATCACACAAACTTGTGATGAACCTCTGCCTGCTGTTGCAAAAAATATTGACACATTTTAATATTTTCCTGCTTTTTAAAGTATTTTCCAGGGAGAAGACCTTTTGTTTTCTGCAAGATGCTATTATCCCAAGTGTTAATGGATTTCCAGCTATTAAGATGTAATCATATACCTTAAGTATTTAGCTGTAAATTTGAAAAATCTTCATGAGCAGACTCAAAGGAATACTTGGAATGCACTCATAGTAAATTGGCTCATTTTCTTGTAATTTACTATAAGTGCTGATCTGAGAGCATTTGTAATGTGGAAAGTATATTAATCCATGGAGATGCATTGTATATGTGAAATTATTACTTTAAAACTTCAAGACACATGAGGTGATTTAGGTTTACTTGGGTTACTTAGAATCACAGTAGAAAAATTGTCACTGTCTTTTGAGGTAATGCATTCAAAGTTAAGGTAGCAAGCTTAAAAACATACAGTGCAGTAATAAATTAAATTAGAGGTTGTATAACCGTCTATATTTTCTCAAAGATTATTTTGGGTGAAGAGTCAACAGGAGGCCTACAATAAAATTTGTTTATTTCAGTTTATAGAAGCTATCTAGAAATGTTTTCAAGAACAGTGGTTCTGGAAAGCAAAACATGAAGCAAAGAGCTTGGTGCAATTCTGTGGAGACACAATCACCCTTTGTCTGTATTGTTTTTAATAAAGGCAACTGAACTTTAAACAACTTCTAGTGCATTTCAGAAACAGTTGTGAAATGGTTATCTGATTTCTTTTTTTTTTTTTAATAGAATGTGAGAAGTGGAGGACCTGCAATTAATTTCAATACTGTAATATTAATCAAAATAATTTTTGGCACTGGGAAGCTGAATATCCTTGCTCTTTATGGAGACATCATATGGAAGATATGTCTAAGGCTTTGTAAAACTGTTGCCCAGTAGACTGCAACATGGAGACGCAGCTAGACCCCACGAAGGATGACTTGCCCTTAATGGCCAACACTAACTACATGCTTGTAAAGCACTATGTATTGGACTTGGATGTGGATTTTGAAAGTAAAATTATTGAAGGCATCATAGTTTTATTCTTTGAGGCTGGGAGCCAGTACAGGAAGACCAGCAGTGCTGGCAAAGAAGGCTGCCAGTCCCTGTTTGATGAAACCTGTGCAGTGAGGGCATCTGAACCCTGCCACATTCCTGTGACAAATGTGAGTGCCTGTTCATCTGAAACGGGATATAATGATTCTGCTGTCTGTGGTAAAGGTGAAGAAGATGCTTCTGATAAAAATGGTAACCATAGCAACGGGGACCAGGCTTCTGGGATTTCTAGTTCAAAGGAATGCTATGACATAGAGAATCATGGGAGCAAGGATTTTTTGTTGGTGTTGGACTGCTGTGATTTGTCCGTGCTAAAGGTTGAGGAGGTAGATGTTGCTGCTGTTTCAGCCATTGAAAAATTCACAAGGTCTGCCAAGCTAACTGGTGTTTCAAAGGAGCTGGAAAATCTCAGGAACCAGATTGTACATGAACTTGTGGCTCTACCTGCAGATCGCTGGAAGGAACAGCTACACTATTTTACCTGCTGCAGCCAGGCGCCTGGCTGTGGAGAGCTTCTGTTCACTACTGGCACTTGGAGCTTGGAGATAAGGAAATCAGGAATTCAGACTCCAACAGACTTTCCTCATGCAATAAGAATATGGTACAAAACCAAACCCAAGGGAAGATCTGTTACGTGGACTACAGACCAGAGCGGCAGGTATGTAACTCCTAGCTGAAAGCTTTGCCCACGCTAATTTGAAACGTGGCTGCAAGAATGTAGAATCGTGTAATGCTGAGTAACTGCGAGGATGATGACCATTCTATTCTGTTCTAATTTCATCCTTGGTTTGAATCCTGCTGCTGTCCTGTAGAAGAACAGACAACAAACTTTCTGCTCAAGAAAACCCAATGGACTCGCAGACCTCATGCCTTTCTAAGGGATTGCATTTGCTCATCCTGAGTGGTAGTAAATAACTGTTGTATGTTGGAATAAATGCGTGCAGGGAATAGGGAATTATCACTCAGGGGAAGAAAAGGTATGCGTGATGGGTTATTTTCACTTTAATGCTTTGTGTTCTTTTTTCTTCCTGGCTTACACAACTGATCATACAGCATAAAGATCAGTATACATAATATTTAATAGAATTGCTTCACAGCTGGTCTTTTATCAATATTGTAATAAGTTTAGAGATGCGGTCTTTTCCTGTTTAGCCTCTCATAATCAACTTTTAAAATCTCCTGCATCTATTATGTAAAGTGCATTGATGACAGCAAATGAACTGCAAACTGAAACTGCAAGAATTGGCATTTTATCTAGCATTTGTGGCAGCACACAGTGCTGTACAGAAATCTTCAAGATAAACTCTTAACAGGAGAGAAAGTACTATCCACTCTTGACTTGTACTGCTGTTGAGGTTTAATCCCAGCCAGCAGCTAAGGACCACCCAGCCGCCTGCTCACTCCTCCCTCCGGGTGGTATATGGAGGAGAAAATATCAGTAAAGGCTCGTGGGTTGAGGCAAGGACAGGGA